ACACCACTCTAGACAAGACGAACGCCCCAGACTTCGTCAGAGCAGGTAAGGCTGTGTATGATCGGGCGTCCACGGTCGTTCCACGGGACGCTGGTCTCTGGACATGCTGGCTGTGTGGGTGCCCCCTCCCTCCGGGCTCAGGCTGTCCTCCGTGGCCGGAGGGCCTCCATCCCATCCACGGCTCCCCCAGCGAAAGCCCTACTGTACCCCAAGGCCAAAACCAAACATCACCTGCGCCTTAAAGCCTCCCCAGGAAGCTCAGCCAGAAGGTACCGCTCCGCCATCCAGGGGCCATAGCTCTGTATTTATTCTTGTATTTTAGGACAGTTTACAAACTGCCTCATCAGGTGGTTGGCTTGGACGGTACGCTAGAGCCGGCTTCCGCTCGGCCTCAAGACTGATCTTGTGAGTGGTCACACTGGGACCTTGACCCTGATCTCAAGACCCTGTAAGAGGTCACTGGGACCTTGACATAGACCATGGTGGGGATATTTATACCACAGGCCTTGGCAAGCGCCATGATTGGGTGCCTTAGCCCCCCACCCCCTACCCCGGAGGGGAGTCTGGCTGTTAAACATTTACCAGCCCACACCAGTTTGGGTAGCTATCGTCTTCCGTCTCCAAATCAACTCAGTGACGTCAGTCTTACTCCGCACCCCCCATCCCCCCAAGCGCCGAGCACGGTGCTTTCCTCAAAGCAAAGAGGCTCACCGATAGAGAATCAGCTTCTGGAAATGCTGCCTAAGCAATCCAGGAATTGACTTGTCCTTCCCAGCCCTGGGCGTGGCCGGGAGCTTCTGGAAGGCTCCCTGAGAGTGTTTCTAGAGAAATCGGCCCCACCTGCGGGAGAGGGAATATGGGCTTAACAGGAACCGAGGAGATGTAAAATGGCCCCAGGGGTCCCCAAATCTCTAAATCTCCTACAATGAAGAGACTTACGTGACTCAGTGACTGAGCCAGGCAGGTTGCATGCTGAAAAGTGCAGGGTGGATTGCTAAACCGGCCCAAGTAGCATCGATCGTCAGCTTAGGGTGGGGTCAGAGGGGTCAATGCGGTTCCCTAAGGCGCTGTCTGTGCTTTCAAGGGAGATTGCATGTGACAGAGAGGACAGACAGCAGGAGGCCAGCCCGGGCAGTGCGCCCGTGGGGCCCAGAGTTCCCGGACCCGAAGATGGGGCCTGCCACAGGCCCGGCTCTGTGCAGGGCACCGGGGCAGGACGGAGGTCCTCAGAGAACTGACAGCCATGCAACCAAACCTTTCACACCACAGAGCCGCATGGTCACCCAGACGCAGGAGATCTGGGACAGCATCCCCTCTGCCCCCTCCCCCGCCTCCGCCGAGAGTCAAGGGCTGTCTTGCCCAAGGGTACTTTCCACCACGCCGCCCAGTCTTCAGGTCATTCTGAGTCAGGTTTGTTGAAATAAATCCGAGTTCTGGTCCTTTGCCCTGAATGTCCATAGACAAGACCCTCTCCCCGGGCCTCAGTTTCCCCATATGGACAATGAAATGCCTCAGCTTTATGAGTTCAGGGATAGCCTTCCCCCCTCCCCACCCCCCACATTTAGCTTTGTCACTTTATGTTTCTGGGCATGTTTGAGCCCTGAACCCCCAGCTTGGAGCTGTCCCTGTACAAACCAGTCTCTCTCCTGTCAGTGGGGGACAGGGTGGATGGGGACTTCTCTCTGGAGCCCCCCCGGCTGGCTAGGAGAGGTGCCTGCCTATGGCAGCCAGCTGAGCGACGACAGGAGAAGGGAGCTCAGCACAGGACCTGGGCCACCCACCCTCCGCCAGCGGCTTCCCGGAGTGGAAGGATGTCAGAGGCACGTCAACACCGTGGCAGCCACCCTTCAGCGCAGACGAGGCAGGGAGAGAGCCAGCCTGCAGTAGACAGGAGCCCAAACCCAGGAGGGGCCTGCACCCCCCACAGCTCTTAGGGATCTGGGGAGAAAGGGGGGGCAGGGAAATTCCTTCTCCTGCATTTTCTGCCCACTAGACACTTTATAATTTACCGCGTTTCTTTCTACTAGAATCCCGCGAGGCACATACTTTTGCCTCCAATTTTCAGATGAGGCTCAGTGAGGGCCCTTCCCTCAGCGGGCCCTTCTAGAAAGGAGGGGGACCATGACTGCAAACGAACCACCCGACTTCAGTTTTCCTGTCCTGCACAGGGCACAAGCTCAAAGAGGCTGGCTAACTTACCCAAGGTCACCCAGAAGGTAGTGGCAAGAGCCGAAATCCCAGCCCAGTGCATGGCAAAGGCTGTTGCCATCGGATCCTGCGCCTCTGTCACTGCTGCCCAGACCGGACCCCATCTGCATGCAGCACCGCCAGGGGCCATCTCTTCTCCCAGGCTCTGGCGACCCCATCCTTCTCCACAGTGAGCATCTGGCCCGTCTCAGGCAGGCCCCTGGTCCCTTCTCAGCCCCAGGACAGCCCTCTGTCACACACCCCTCCTTTCCTTATCCCCCACCCTCCACTTGTCCAGGGGTCCTGGATGCCTCTCCCTCAGTTTCCATTTTTTAATTAATTTATTTATTCATTTATTTATTATTTTAATGTTTATTTTTGAGAGAGAGAGAGAGAGAGAGAGACAGAGCATGAACAGGGGAGGGGCAGAGAGAGAGAAGGAGACACAGAATCCGAAGCAGGTTCCAGGCTCTGAGCTGTCAGCACAGAGCCTGACGCGGGGCTCAAACCCATGAACTGTGAGATCACGATCAGAGCCAAAGTCGGATGTTTAACAGACTGAGCCACCCAGGCGCGTCCAGGGTCTATATTCTTCTTGTGAGAGGCAAGTGCATGAACAAAGCGCTCTGACGGTGGGTGCTAAGTGCTGAGAAGGCTACAGAGAGTCGACGTGAGCTCACCCACCGGTCCCTCGGCCGCCCTGCACCTCACCTCTGTCCTCACTCGACCCTGGGGAGCAGTCACGGGAGGAACAGAGGGACCAGGAAGACCGTGCCGGTAAAGAGGCTCAGGCCAGACCCTTTGAGTGTGACGTTGCATTAGACTTGCAACCTCACTGTGGAAGACAGAGGTCGTCTCCAGGCACAGAGACACACGTAGGACCCCAGAGCTCGCCCAGAGACGCGGGAGCCGGTGCAGGCTGTACCAGAGCCCAGCTCTCCAGACTTCCAGCCCCAGTGCTGTTTCCAAAGCCCACTGCCTTCCAGGCAAGATAGGAGACCGCGGCCTCCCCTCCATGACCCCATGCCCCAGTCTCCTGACCTGGGACAGCCCAGCCTCCCCCCGCCCCCCCAGCCCCTGCACACTGCTACGGCGATGGCTGGGAGCACAGACAACTGAGGAGCTCCAGAGATGAGCCCAGCAAATAGCACAATCTCTCGAGAAGGTGTTCAGAAGAGGCTCTCCAATCCGTTCACGGGGCAGGCTGCTCGCTAAACTGATCTCAGACCAGAGTCTCCCAGCCGGAAGTGGCCCTAGAATTTAATCCAAATGCCTCTTTTCACCCATGCATCTATTCCTCGCTCTCTCTATAGTTACATGCAAGCATTAAGCGCTGACCGTGTGCCATTTACCACGTGTGCCATTTACCACGTGAGGTGCTGCGCATACAGCGGAGAGCGAGGCAGGTAAGACGCTCGACCTCCTGGAGTTTGCGCGCAGCTGAAGACATGGGCAATGACGAAGCACGTGTAATTATAAGGTCACACACCACGACGGAGACTATGAAAGCCCAGGAAGGGGTGACAGGAAAACTTAGAAAGGGGGAGAACTTATTTTTTCAGGGTGTCGCTGAGGCAGGAACAATGGTCTGGCGTTCAACAGGGTGGAAGGGTGGGGAGGAAAGGACACAGAGGAAGGAACAACCAAGAGGAAGGTGCACGGTAAGTTCTAGAAACCAGGGAAAGGGCACTGCGGCTGACACAGCTGTGAAGCAGAAACAGGGGTGCCCGTATTGCGGTGGGCTCCACCCCGTGGGGTGACTTATGGATGTGATGGAGCACTTGAGAGGGCGTCTCGGTGGCTCATTCAGTCGAGCGTCTAACTTCGGCTCAGGTCACGATCTGAGGTTCAAACCTCGCATCAGGATCGCAGCTGTTGGTGCAGAGCCTGCTTTGGATCCTCCGTCCCCCTCTTTCTCTGCCCCTTCCCCTGTCGTTCTCTCTCAAAAATGAACAAACATTTATATATAACAAAAAGCATTTGGCCTTGATCCCGAGGCAGTGAGGAGCCTGGGGCTCTTACATGGGACTGAGTGGAGCGGAGGGGCCTTCAAGTTTGTGAAGGTGGCCCCGCAGGCAGGTAGGAGTACGGCTTGGCTGGGCGAGAGGTAGCAGCAGCAAGACCTGTCCAGAGGCCAGTGCAGGTGCCCCCAGGAGATGGTGATGCTTTAGAGCAGGGGTGACAGTGAGATGAAGAGAAGGGGGCACATCCCAGAGATACGAATCCCAAGGTGAGATCAGCAAGGGTGGATGACGCATCGCAGGGGGGGATGCAGAGAGCGAAGTTGAGGGCTGTGCCGGGCTCCACTCTGTGGAAGCACGTGGGTGAGGAAGACCTGATGTTGGAATCCAAGGCCCAGACCGGCGAGATGTGCCCGGGTCCTCACAGCGTGCCCCATCCCCACCCACAGAATCTCACACAGTCCCCGGCAGCCAGGGCTCGGGATAGCCAGGGATACTGAGAATTCTCCTGCATCCCAATCTGTCTCCGAGAAGTTACGTCTCCTGAGGACTCACCTTCCATCTCTGTTTAAAATATTGTTACCCACAGGGGCGCCCAGGGGGCTCTGTCGGTTAAGCATCTGACTCTCCGTTTAGGCTCAGGTCACTGATCTCACGGTTCTTGAGTTCGAGCCCCATGTCGGGCTCTGTGCTGAGGGCCTGCTTGGGATTCCGTCTCCCTCTCTCTCTTTGCCTCTTCCCTACTCGCTTTCTGTCTCTCCCTCTCTCAAAAATAAATAAATAAGCATTTAAAAATACAATAAAATATTGTTACTGACAATAAAATGACGCCAGGCTCACAGCACCAAGCAATACGCGAATGGAAAATATTTTTGTTACGCAGCGTGGGCGGGGTTGAGGCATGGGGATGAGACAGAAGGGCATGGGGCACAGCACAAATGGAGTCCTGAGGAGGGTTGGGCGAGGCCGCCCGACGGAGCCGGTGGGCAGATCCGACGTGCTCTCTGGCCCATGTTATCTTGCTGTCCAGTCTCCGTAGCGGCCCCACGAAGGTAAATACCACCTGCTCAGTGTGTGGGTAAGCAAGCCAAGGTGAACGAGGGTGGGCACGTCATCCCCACTCTCCAGCTCCCAAGCGGTCAGGCTCTGCTCCCCCCGCCCCGAGCCCTTCACGGATGAGACCTTGCCGTTGGAGGTAAACGTGGAAACTGGCTTCTCAGTGCTGTCAGCTACGCAGGAACTGGTGGAGGGAAATTTTGGTGGCTGGGGCCTCTGAAGGTCTTCAAGTGTGATAACCCAGGGCAGTTCTGAGTAAGGGATTGGCCTTCCGAGCAAACTGATGTGTTCTCTTCAATTTCAAAAGCCCAGGTCTCACAGAGGCAGGGGGCCGGCGGGAGGGGCGGGGAGGGAGGCGCCGGCCAGGCCTTGGCCCCCGTGACTGTCGCCCCCCTCCCCATCTGCTCTGGAGGGGCAGAGGGCGAGGAACATGCTGTCCGCTGATCCACAACTTGAGCAAAACTTAATTGCTTCCCTGAACCTGAAAAATATCAAACCGCATAAATAAATGTGCTTTAAATTATTAATAAAGGCATTTACATCTGGAGTTGGAGCATGGAAATTAATCTAATTTCTTATGCTAAACTGGCTGGGGTGGCATGTGATTTAAGGATCTGGAGACACAAAGGGCAGGGAGGGAAAGGATGGGAGATGGGCCCTCTTTGGCATTTGCATATAAGATGCGGAAAAGAATGAGGAGGAAGGAAGGAGCGGCAAGGAAGGCTGGGTGGAGGGTCTTCTGAAGACCCGGATGAAGGCCACTTCACCACTGAGAGCAAGAACACGGAGTCTACATTTTTAACGGCACTGGAAGACGGTCCCGTGCAAGTACTAACCTGGCTCCACCATGATTAGCACCCGACGGCCCTGAGGAAGCCTAGGTTTCTGTGCAGGTCGAATTATTTGACTTTCTCAAGGGCAGGAGAGCCAAAGTTGGGATGGGCCTATCAGCTGGGCTTGGAGAGCAGGACATCAGCGAATGCCTGTGTGGCCAGGGGGAAGGGACCCAGAGACCGCTGTCACCTGCCCCCCAGCCCACCCTGACACTCTCAGGACTTTCTTCCTTTAGCTTCTGGAAGCAGATTGGTACCAAACAGCCCTGCATCCAAACACCAGCTCGCTGAGTAAATAACACCTCTACTGTATAGGAAAGGAAACTGAGGCCCAAGGAAAGTGGCCGGTCCAGGGAAACACAGCTTGTAAACCATGAAGCAGGAATTTAGCCACTTGGTTCTCTGATGGCTGGAGAGTCAGGCTGACCCGGGGCTCCCAGCCCTCCATCTTAGCAGTGGCCCCACTGGTGTGTGTGAAGCCCCTACTACGTGCCCTCTGCTGCATGAAGGACTCCACATGCACAGCCTGTACTTCTTCACAATGTGTCACAGACACACTCTTCGCCCTGTATAGACAGAACACCAGAGGGGTGCCTGGGTGGCTCAGTCAGCTGAGCATCCGACTTCGGCTCAGGTCGTGATCTCGCGGTTTGTGGGTTTGAGCCCCGCGTTGGGCTCTGTGCTGACAGCAAGCTCAGAGCCTGGAGCCTGCTTCAGATTCCGTGTCTCCCTCTCTCTCTGTCCCTCCCCTGCTCACCCTGTCTCACTCTCTCTCTCTCAAAAAATGAATAAAACGTAAAAAGAGAGAGAGAAAGAGAGCACCAGAGCAGGCTCTTAGGGACACTCATTCCCTCTCCTAGGCCACAGAGCTTTCCAGACCCACCCCGGGTCAAGAGGGCTGAAACAAAAAGACGGGAGATGAGTGGCCAAGCACGGAGGCCACCAGGGGGAGGTGCAGTTTGGTGCCCACCCCGGACCCTGGGCGTCTGCCTCATCCTGCCCCCGATCTCTCTGCCCATCAAGAGGTCAAAGATTCAGCTGGTCTTTCTCTCAACAGCTTCCATTCTGGTTGCTACTACTTAACACCCTGTCCAATCCTGTCGGCCCCATGCTGTTCATTGCACTCTTTCTACCAGTGTCAGAAAGGCTTCGTTGAAAGATGGTCGCTCCAGAGTGATGTAGGGGAGCCTCGGGCTGGTTACTGTCCCTCTTGGCAGCCCGAATTCCACCCTGGAAAAAGAAGGTGGTGGCGGCCCCTACCCAAGGCCACAGCCTGGTACAGATCAGGGCCTGTTTCTCCCACAAGTGCCCTCGATGCCACCTCAAAAGGCAAGCAGGATGGAACAGAAAGGTCCTATTTGCTGCAGGAATATGTCTTTAAAGGCGGGGGTGGGGGGGATGCTTGCTCCAACTTTTTTTCCAGTCGTTTTTTCCCTCAGATGTTATCCTGCCTAATTACACTTCCAAACTGCAACACGATTTTTTAAAACGTTTCTTAAATAGAAGTTTAATTAATGCTTCTTAAAGAGAGGATAAGAGTTTAGACTGAAGTTATGATACAGTAGAGGTGGCCATTTTGTTGTCTATCTTTAGATTTTAAGGCAAATGGGAGCCCCGTTTTGCACTCACGATGTGAAGTCAACATTTACTTCCATTTTGTAGGACTTGAAGAATAGTTTTATATTTTACATTATGGTAGCGGTTTGTAGCTGTTACCTCTTTTACGACACACTGGTGGCCGCTGCTTTGCTTTAGCTGTCAGTGGGTCATTTGTCGGGGACATCGTTGCCAATTACTGCGTGCCAGAGGATAGTTGCTAAGGCCAAATTATTAAGGAAACAGGGTATCCCTGAATCCCACATGTTTTGTGTTGGGCTTAGGAGGAAACATCCCATTTTCTCAGAAATTGCTTTCACCCTAAGTGAGTCAAGAATTTCCAAGGGCACCTGGGTGGCTCAGTTGGTTAAGCATCCAACTCATGATTTTGGCTCAGGTCATGATCTCGTGGTTCATGAGTTGGAGCCCCGCATCAAGCTCCGTGCTGACAGTGCAGACCTTGCTTGGGATTCCCTCCCCACCTCTCTCTGCCCTTCCCCTGCTTGTGCGTGATCTCTGTCTGTATCCAAATAAATAAATAAAACTTAAAAAAAAAAAAAGAAGAAGAAGAATTTCCTAGTCCAGCTCTGGGTACTCTGCCTCCAGGATGAGAGCAGATAGGTAGGGAGAGGGAACTTCACTTGGAGGACAGAAAGCTTCAAAATTGTCCCCTCTCTCTTCCCAGTCTTCTGTACGATCCTGGATGTGAAAGTGACTTGTGAACTTTCACAAGTTCCGTACGGTTACTGCTATTATCGTAGCTCAGCTAGGTGATGAGCACTCATTGAAGGCTATTCATTTCCCTTAAAAAAGGAGTGATCCAAACTGAAGAAAGAGCACTCGGGCTTCAAAAGATGAAGTGGCAGAAGAAAGAAGTCCTCTCCTTTCCTCCCCCACCTGCTCATGGAGAATGAGGTCCCCTCACCTTCACCGTGAGCTAGACGGAGCTTGCTGAGTGTCCGCAAATCCGAGTGGCTAGTCCGGCAGGTATGGCTGGATCAGGGCAGGAGGGAAGGGCCACCCTAAGGGCTGTGGGTGTCCATGAGGAACCACGTCGTTCACTTCCTGTGCTCAAGTGGGGGCCCGTGATGCCAAGGCTCACCTGGCCTCTAGCAGGCAGGTTCAGGGGTCCCTGGTCAGACCTTGGGGGGAAGAAGCGGAGAGGGGTCTCTGAATCTCCCTAACCTGCTTGCTGAGCCCAATATACTCCTAAGAAGTAGACTGTCGGATGCCGATTACGTTATCTGCTCAACAAACATTTCCTGCGCAGCTACTATAAAGCTGTCCTTGTGACTGTCGCTGGGACGGGGAAGTCAGAGAAGGAAGGCAAGGAAAATCGAGACCGAGGGCCCCATTTTCTCTCTCACATAGTTCTTCTCTGCCTTTTGCTGGGTTTCTGTCTGTCCGGGGCCACACGTGCTCTACACCCTCACACCCCCCCCCCACGCACCCCACTCCCTGCTCTCCCGAGAGGCCCCTTGGCTGCGGGCCCTTCCTGGAAGCCAGAAGGGACGCCATGGGGAGAACGGGTTGATTCGGGCAGCAGCCCCCCACTTTGCCCCCACCCCCAGCCCAGGCTCCCTCCACACGGAGTGCCCCGGGCCTGCCCGACCCGTCCCCTAGCTAGGCCCGCCTTGGTGGCTCCCGTCTGTCACCCTCAGGCCTTGCTCTGCGTTACTTCAGTTTTTAAAAAAACAAGCCGAAGAAGGAGAGAAAGGGAAGCGTGGGGAGCCCAGGGCGGGCTGGGGCAGCGGAGGGGAAGGGCCCCCCTCGGGGCGCAGAGCCGAAGCCGCTGGGGTGCTGTGGGTGCCTTGTGGCTCAGGCCCAGAGGCTCATGCAGGCTGTGGTGGCGAGCGTGATAACTGGTGAGCCGATTCGGAGAATTTCTGCAGGTTTTGTAATGAGAGGTGACAGCACGCGGCGGGAGATAACAAGGTGCTCGGGCGCTGGGCCAGCGGGCTGCACGGAAGCGACAAGGGAGCGCAGGGACACAGGGACAGGACGCACCTGGCGGGTCTGAGCAGACACAATGAATCCCCTTGGAAAGAACTCACTGGTTCAGGGCTGGGGGGGAGGAGTGAAGAGAACCGAGGTGAGGGCAGGCTGGGCCCCTCCCGAGCCGCGCCGCCCCTGCTCTGGGACAGGCTCTGCTCCACGCCTCTCCCGCCGCAGGCTGCCTGTCGTGAGGGACACCCCCAACCCCCTCCGTCTCAGTGGGGACACAGTCCTGGCTTGGGCGCAGGACACCACAGTCAGCAGCACAGAGCGGAATGCCCGGGAGGGAGAGTCTAGGCAGGGTACTTTGGACACATTCAAACTGTAGACGGTCCCTCTGACCATCTGACCATCCATGACCGACCATGGCTGCGAGACCCTAGCTTCCTTCCTTCACATGGCATTCAAGGCTGGCCCGTGCTGGCCCACCTTTTCAGCATTATCTCCTTCCACCTGCCCCATGGACATGGCTGACCCTCCAGACTGTTTGTCAGGCACACTACACACCCACTCTGCCAGGGCCTTTGCACTTGCCGGTTCCTCTGCCTGTAAGGCTTTCCCCCTTCCTACCTGCCTGGCGGATCTTTTAGGAACCTGCTTGGATGTCTTCTCTTCTGTGAAGCCTTCCCTTGGCCCCAGGGCAGGGTTCACCCCAGCCCCTCCAGCAGTACGGTCATCTATGTTGCACACACGTCCATCCTGACTGTTTGTTTTCCTGGCTGTCTCCCTTCCAGGCTGTGAGGAGAGCGGCCATGTCTTAGTTACCTCTTGCTCTCAAAGTTCAGGATCTGGCATATGGCAGGCACGTGATAGAGGACGCAGTGCACACGTGGGGAGGATGAAGGGCACATCCAGGCGGGGGAGGGGCCTCCCTTGAATGTGCCCTCCCCCTCCCAGTACTGGGACCTGCCCCTCCCCTCCCCTCCCCTCCCATCTCCCGAAAGCCGTCTAAATTCCCTCACAGGCCAGGCCCCATTCAAGGCCCTCTGCTCCACTCTCATACTCTCACACCTTGGATCCCAAGTAAGTGCTTGATCCCTGTGAAGTGGTTTGGACCCCAAAGCCTAGAGGGGGGTCACAGGACCGCCGCTTTCCCTTTAGAAATCCATCAGAAGGCGACAGGTGCACCCCCTCGGCAAGCCCCAGCCCGTTCTACGCAGAGAAGGAAGTGGCTCCTACTGGCTGCAGGTGGGTGCCTCTAACTCGGCCCTGGGGCTTCTGCTCTCTCTGTTGCCTCCCTTGGCGAATTCCCTCCAGCCCAGGACCAGGAACGCTGAGCACCGCCCCCACGACCCGGTGACATCGGCACCCGGCCCCAGAAAGGGGTTTCACCCCCAGGGGCACAGGCAGCAGCCCCCCCATGCCTAGAGCAGGCGGGCGAGGCGAGGAGGTGTGCAGAGGCTGACAGGAACTAGTCTAAACCAGACTTAGCCAGTTTTGCTCCTTCTGAGCAGTGGAGGAAGTGAGTGGTTCACACCTGGGGAGCGGGAGTGGCCAGGGGTGTCTGGAGGCCTGGGGTTGGGGCGGTGCAGGCCTCTATCTCTGGATCGCCCACTGAGCACACAGGTGAGGTGGCCCCCACACCAGGGCCCCTTGAGGGTCGACGGGGCCAAACACACACCCACGAGAGACACTCGAAACCGCGGGGCTGGGGCTTCCCGTCTCCTCGCCCTGTCCCGGCCCTTCCCTGTGTGGTGGAGGCAGCCACAGGACTCTGTCCTTAGCTGTGTCCTTCCCCTGGGGTCCTCGGGGAACCGTTTATGCTCCTGGCTGTGGGTGCCCCCACTTTCTGGAAACTTCCATCCATCCCCCTCATCCTCCATGGGGCTTCAAAGCCAGGCCACTGCTCTTCCAGAAACGAGACATCATGGCAGCCGGGGTCCCGATGTCCCCGTCCGGTTACCAAGGAGGCCCGCCCGTGTGTGTCCCGAGGCAGACACAGCCCTGTCTTGTCTTCTCACGAGGCGGAAGTGCTCCTCAGAGAAGCAAATGGAAGGGGAGGCCCAGAATCAAGACCCTCACAGGCACACTCACCTTCGGGAAGCAAGGGGTCCGCAATGTGACTTCGAGGAGAGCTTGCCTGAAGCCCGCCTCGCTTGCCTACTGGCTGTGTGATGTCCGGGCACCGTTACTCCTCTGAGCCTCCATCCCACCCCTGTAAAATGGTCCCGAGCCCAGAAGGCCTGCTGCATGGGGCCATTTGCAATCCTTCCTCAAGCACATCAGGATTCTGAGCTTAGTGGGGGCAGCACAGGATAGGTGTTCAACAGACCATCCCTTGCTGTCCCTTCACTGCGTGGGTGGATTCGGGGTCTCCGACCATGTACTGCTTGGGCCCGGGATCAGACGTCGCGGGTTTGAATCCTGGCCCCTCCACTTGCCCGTCGGGTTTGCCTTGGGCAGCTAACCTCACCTGGCTGACTCTCCCTCTCCTTCGGGCAGTAGTGACCCAGAAGAGCTGACACAGCACAGGGCCATTGTGAAGACTGCGGGGGAGGACGCACACCAGGTTTAACCCAGCAATTGGCACGTAGTAAGTGCTCAGTAAATGTCGGCGGTTCTGTTGTTTTTATCCTACTACTGGAACACAAGTGCATACGTAACTCTCCTCCTTGATGTTTGAGTCACATCCAACATGGCCCCTGGGACCCCGGGAGAGCCAGGGGGCACTGCCACTCTGGCCGGAGCCCCTCTGGCTTCATCAGCCACACCTCCCAGCCAGATCGGCATTACCTACGGGACCCTGGGCCCCACCGGGTCACCCATGAGGAGCCCTGCTCCTGGGGTCAGGTCAGGAAAAGTGTTAGTGTGTTCCCACCTGGGCCCCCGTGCATGGGGGTTTGGGAGGGGAGCCCCCGCTGCTCTGGGCAGCCTGCCCGTGGCCGGGTCTCCCGGTGGAGAGCAAAGGCTCAGAGCTGCAGCGGGGCCTGGGCAAACCTAGAGCCTACTGGATAGTGGGAGTTCAGGTTCGAGAGGGGGCGTTGAATGCGCCACGGCCGGGTGACAGCCAACGCTGGCCCATATCATCCGACCCCTGTCCCTGCTTTGGCCCCCTTACCCCATGCCAGCATTCCAAGAAATCTTCCTTGGTACGCTTTTAATTTCTTTTGCAAAGGCATCAATCGTATACCTGCGTTCTGACCACTGCTTCCTCAACGTTTTGTTGTGGTTGAATTTTTTGAGGAAATTCACATGACCTGTGATTAACCATTGAAGTGTAACCATTCAGTGGTATTCAGTGAGCTTACCACGTTATGTGACCACCAGCCCGCTCTACTGTCAAAGCTTCTCAGGGGTGCCCGGGCGGCTCTGTCGGCTAAGCAGCCAACTTCAGCTCCGGTCATGATCTCACGGCTTGTGGGTTTGAGCCCCATGTCAGGCTCTGTGCTGACAGCTCAGAGCCTGGTGACTACTTTGGATTCTGTGTCTTCCTCTCTCTCTGAGTCCCTTCCCCACTCACACTCTGTCTCTCAAAACAAAACATTAAAATATTTAAAGAAAAAAAATGTTTCAGCGCCCTATGAAAACACCCCATTCCCGTTAAAAAATCACTCCCCATTTCTGCCTCCTCCTCCAATCCCCTGGTAACTTTGAAACTGCTTTCTGTATACACCATGTAAAAGGAAACATACAACACGTAGCAGTTTGTGTCTGGCTTCTAGCACTGCACATAGTGCTTCTGAGGCCCACCCACTTACAGTATGCATCAGTACGTCATCCTTTTTTATGGCTAAATCATATTCCATTGCATTTGTCCACGGATGGACTTTGGCATTGCTTCACCTTTTCCCAACATGCAGGAAAACGGGAAAGAATACCATATGAGCACCCATTTCCCTGCTCCCCTGATCCCACTGCAGGGCCAGGACCGGGGCGGGGCCGGTAAGCTGCTTTCGGTGCCCGTGGGAGGCGATGCTCACTCCCCGGGTGGGCAGAGGCAGGGTGGACCCTGTGAGTGCTGTCCACCTTAGTGTTGTGCACAGGGCACCCCCTGGCCTCACCGTAGGCCTGTCTTGTTGGACAATTTTAACATGTTGACATACTTGTTTTATCCTGCTCTGTAAACATTTGTTCCTGCTGAGACGTTTGAAGACCAATTATGAAGCCCACGGCACTTCTCTCCTCCACTGCTCCACGTGCACCTGCTCTGAGGACTTTCTACACAGGACAGATCCATCCCTCCCCATCCCCCCCTCCCCCCCAGCGCCAACTACCTCAACCTGTCTTCTATCGATTTTGTTTGTTGGCTGTTTGGTTTATTTTCACAAGGGTCTCATAAAGTTTCCCACGTGGCACATGGGTATCAGGTCTCTTTCACGCTACAGTGGCCTTGGCTTCCTCTCATTTCATATCATTGGCCTTTTGAAGGGTCTTTTAGAAAGGATTTGCCTGATGGTTTTACCTTGCTGTCATTCAACCCGACCTCCCTGTAAATCCTGCACACAGGTGGTTGGGGCCAAAGGCTAAAGTCTGTGGCAAGAATACTCCACAGGTGATGTTGTGTTCCACACGTCACCTTACGTCAGAAGGCCTGTGACGCTAAGTTTGTTCAACTGGATAAACTCCCGGCCACCATATGTCTCTAATGTAATGGTACATCATCTCCCTTTTTCTCGGGGAAGGTGCTTTGTGACTGTACAGATATCCTATTTCCCAACACCCTTCACCCACTGGCTTTAGCACCTAAGGATGAGCCCTGTGGGAATCAAGAATTACACCAGGGATTGCAAATGGCGACTTTCTAATGTGGTCGTTCCTTCTATATACGTTGCTCAGCAGGTGTTCTCCTGTGAAGAGCAGCTTCCCATCCCTCTCCTTTCTCTCCCTCTCCCTCTCTCTGTTTAATTAATTATAGCCATTTTTTTCCATTGAAGTTCAGCAGTTCCAAGTTTAGCTAGAGGGGCCCCTTCCAGTCTGCTTCTACATCTTTTTGACATGGCCCCATGTAGACCACTAAGATGTCCCAGATTTACTTGCACTTTCCTTCCCTCAGATCTGGAATCAACCATTTCTTCAGGAAGGTTCAGTTGCTGGTAATGGCCTTAGAAAGCAGAATCTGGGCCCTGGGAGTTCAGTCTCCTTATAACAGGGGCTCCTGATTCTAGATGCCATCTGTGGACAGAAGCAGGAAAAATAAAACCAGTTCATAATATTAGCAGCTCAGATGGAACATTCTTGGTGATTCTTTCTGAACTCTTTCTTCCTGTTGTTCATTTATTATGTGAGTCTCTTTTCTCTTGCACAGAGCATCTTGGTGTCTAATAGCATTACTATATGTATTTACTTGCTTTATTTTACTATATACCTAGTAACGATAAGCCTACTGAGCAAAGCTTAAGACTTCTTTGTAGTTTCATTTGTCCTGGGAATATATTCCACCATAGGTATGTGGTCAGGGTATTTTTTTTTTCAAGTTACTTGAACTCACTCTCTTTGCCGTATGGTTAGGTCCTCAAATCAATTCGCGGTTATGTCCCATTGTGTATCTGTGTGCAAATTTGGGGAGGTTTTTTTCTTATAATTTTTTATTTAATTTTATTTATTTTCTTGAACATACAAATCATGTCCATTGTTAAAAACACATAACGATATTAAAAGTCCTATTTGGAGAAGTTTTCCTCCTCTGCCAATGCTCTCTACCCTGTTCCCCTTCTCCTCCACTAATTTCTGGTATATTCTTCCCGTGTTTATAGAAGTGTGTACACTTGGGGCGCCTGGGTGGCTTAGTTGGTAAAGCGTCCGACTTTCGCTTAGGTCATGATCTCACGGTTTGTGGGTTCGAGCCCCGTGTCGGGCTCTGTGCTGACGGCCAGTCAGAGCCTGGAGCCTGTTTCAGTCTGTGACTCCCTCTCTCTCTGACCCTCCCCTGCTCACGCTGTCTCTCTCTCTCTCTCTCTCTCTCTCCTAGAAATAAATAAAACATTAAAAAAATTAAAAAAAAAAAAAAGAAGTGTGTACACGCATATATATTGCTGAAGCAGCAATCTTCTTTCCTGCAGAATTTATGTTAAGGGTGTAGATGGGAGCCCAGTCCTGGAGGAGGAAATTATTTTAAATGAGGCCAATTTGGGGGCACCTGGGTGGCTCAGTTGGTTGAGCGCCTGACTTGAGCTCTGGTCATGAACTCATGGTTTGTGAGTTTGAGCCCCTCGTCAGGCTTTCTGCTGTCAGCTCGGAGCCTGCTTCAGATCCTCTGCCCCCCATCTCTTTCTACCCCTCCCTCGCTGGCTCTCTCTCTCAAAAATAAATGAATAAACTTTTTTTAAAAAAATAAATGAGGGAAATGTGCTTTTGAACCTCACTCCCTGCTAGCTGTACCACCTGAACTGGTCGTATAGGTTCTTTGAGTCTCATCTTCCTTATCTGGGAAATGGGGTAACAATTCCTACCTTTTATGGTTCAGGCTATGATTAAGGTCTTCCTCATATCACATTAAATAATTAAATCCTAGATAGTTGGATGGTGAGTGTTCACATGCGTTCTTACATATGTGGTGGGTGTGAGGGTGCGGGGAGGGGGAATCCTTTCTTCGAAACTTAATGATGTGGGCTGACAACTCTTTACCCAGAATCCTGGGAGCCAGATGTGTTTTAAAAATCAAAAGATTTATAGTTCGGGGCACCTGGATGGCTCAGTCAGTTGAGCGCCCTACTTTGGCTCAGGTCATGATCTTGCAGTTCGTGAGTTCGAGCCCCGTGTCGGGCTCTGTGCTGACAGCTCAGAGCCTGGAGCCTGCTTCAGATTCTGTCTCTCTCTCTCTCTGCCCCTCCCCCACTGCTCCCTGTCTCTCTGACTCTCTCAAAAATAAATAAACATTAAAAAAAATTTTTTTTTAAAGAAGATTTATGATTTTAGTAGGTGCTAGTGTGAGAAATCTGTTCAGGGCACGGTACTCCTAGCAGAGTCTGAAACAGCACCTTCTAGTCAACATAGTATTTCTGCAGCAAAATGCATGAATGTTTACATCACGTATAAAGATTCCTAGGTCAGCCTAAGTCAGATTCTGGTGCTAAATGGGTCTGTGGTGAACTGTCAAAATCAATTTTTCATGTTTGAGATCTTTCTGGGTTTTGAAACTGTGGATAAGGTGCCATATCGAAAGATCATCCTTAACAAAGTCTTAACCTTTTCAAAGCCATTTCTGACAATATGACGTCAGCGTGTTGTGCCTGCATCTTCGTATCCCTCTCTCTTCTCATAGTTGAGGACATAGTGGACACAATGGAGTTACAGGGGTCCTGGGGCCCCGAAGGTCAGCCTTGGTCATGCTAAGTAATTTCCACGTTTGGTGCAACTGTATCAAGATTATGAAACCTATTGCTCGTACACCAGCTTCCTCATTTATCCCTTTTCTACACACTTCTAGGAAATGACATAGGACAAAATGCTATGGCATAGTCACATGCATGCACACACCATGCCCAGAGGATGAGCAGAAGCACTCTTTCGTGTCCAGGCTCCAATCCCCCATGAATCAGGTGATGTGGGGCACTCCAAAATCAGCGTGCGAATGTCAGCTCCGAGTCATCCAGGCCTAACGCGCAAAAGCTCACGGTGCCAGTTCTCACTGGGAATCTGGGGTTTGAATCTATGCTGTGGGTGGGATGAGGGAACCCCCAAGCTGGACAAGTCAAGTGGTCCCAGGTTGGCAGTGCCCCCTCGTGGCTGGAAGAAACCAATACAAACCGTCCCAGGAGGGAAGTGTTCTTAATCTGATTGACTGAAGAGAAACTACCAAAAAAAAAAAAAAACCAAAAACCAAAAAAACACTCAAAGCAATGAGTCACCATGAGCAAGAGTCATCAGAGGCAACAAGCAACAGATTTCAAACACGGTTTCTCAACCTCAGAGCTACTGACATCTTGCCAGGTGCTTCTTTACTGTGGGGGTTGTCTGTGCATGGTTAGCTGCATGCCTGACCTCTACGCACTGGATGCCGGTGGCTTGCGCGCATGAGCACGCACAAACACACACACACACACACACACACGCCAGTCATGACAACTAAAAATGTCTCCAGACATTGCCAATTGTCTCCAGAGGGAAAAATTGTCCCCGCTTGAAAAGCACTGTTTAGCTCCTCAAAGATTTCAAATATCACATGACCATGATAACTATGTATGAACCCAAATAACTATGTATGAAATGCTTAAAAACTTGAAAGATGGAATGGAAAACAACGATCAAGGAATAAGAAACCACCAAAGATTATAGGGAGATGTTTATAAAGACTCAAATAGAATGACTGAAAATGAAAAATTAAGAATTCGGTGTATGTGTTAGACACAGATAAAGAAAGAATTAGAGAAATAGAAGAGATATTTGAAGAAATTACTCCAACTAATCAGAAGAGCCAAAAAGAAAAAAAACAAACAAGGAAACTGTGACCGCATGGTTAAAAGACAAGGACAATGTGAGAGAGACGTTAAGGTACAAACAACTAAAGCACCAGAGGAATGAATAAAGAGAATGAGAGAAAAGTAATATTTGCAGAGATCACGCTGGAGACTTTTCAGGATCCATATTGGCAAGAAGTCCCAGAGATAACTGGCAGGATGGAAGTTTAAGTTGTTGCTGTGAGTTTGATGTAGGAAAGCTGAGGACTGAACCTCAAGGGATTATCACCAAAACAGAGACACCAATGCAACCCAGGGGTCCACAGGAGGGCCATGGTGGCATCAATGGAATGGATGTGGGATTCCTGGGAGTCATTCGTGTGGACAGCTGACCTGAGCTCAGCCCTGAAGGATGCTGAAGGACGTTCATCTAACGTCGAATCCAGAGACTTTGATCTGAGCCTTTTGCTCCCAGGACGACCCGGGAGATTAAATGGAGGTGGGAGGGTGAAGTGCAGAGAATAAATGGGATGTTCTCCTAAGCAGAAGAGCCTGAGCAAAGGCATGAAGGGAAGACTGAAGGCTTCATGAGCGAAGAACAAAAGGAGGGGCGCCTGGGTGGTTCAGTTGGTTGACAGTCGGACTTCGGCTCAGGTCATGATCTTGCAGTTTGTGGGTTCGAGCCCCTCGTCGCGCTCTGTGCTGACAGCTAGCTCAGAACCTGGAGCCTGCTTCAGATTCTGTGTCTCCTTCTCTCTCTGCCCCTCCCCTACTCACACTCTCAAAAACAAATTAAAAAGAGAGAGAGAGAGAGAACAAAAGGAAATTTTGTTTGATGGGGTTGGGAAACATTTAAGAGGGCAATTGCAAACCAGACTGGATGGACAATGTGAAACCAACCTGGGGAAGTCCCTTGAGGAATAAGCAGATATGCTTGGACTTAAAACTTTAGGCCAGATGTTGGTACACTACAGCCCGTGGGCCAAATCTCCCACCGCTTGTTTTCATCAATAAAGTTTTATTGGAGCACCGCCATACTCATTCATTTACATATCATCTATGGCTATTTCTGCACCGCAATAGCGCAGATGAGTAGTTCTGAGAGACACCGTATGGCTCCCAAAACCTAAAATATTTACTTTATGGCCCTTGGGAGGAAAAGTTTGTCGATCCCTGATCGAGGCCGAGGCAGCCAGCCATGAGGCCTTTCAGCCAACAGATCAAGATGAAGAGGATAAACCCAGAAGTCGCTGAAGGGATGGTGTGTGTTGTAAGAGGAGGAGAAATGTGCCATGCATTTATTAATTTCCTACAGTATACCATCCCTCCACCCACATTATCATTATTGCTTTATGAGAAGCAATAACCACCCTGCTGTTGTTACTTTTCTATTTCAAAGATGAGGAAATAGGATCCAGAGATACCGAGTGGCATATCCAAGGTCAGCCAGTGTTTCACGCGGAGTTTTTTCAGATCCGATTTTGAGGTGGTTAGACTCCAAAGCCAATGTTCTTCCCACCATGCCTCGCTCCCTTCAAGGCACTGTGTATTCAAGGTGCCGAGGGTGGCCCCAGGCCAGCGCGTCGCTACTGTGTCCTAACCAGCCATAGCCCAAATTGGAGACGTGGTGAACATTTCCCTCCTCTCTTGAAAACAGACCCAGGGACCCACTCTGACCCAGAAGGAGGGTACCTCAGGCCCACGGTTCCTCCAGCCTCGGCTCCCGGCTTGTCCAAACATTGACTCCACCCCGTCCCCCTCCACCCCATGCCTCTGGAGCCACTGGCTTGGCCAAAAACACCTATCATACATCTTCCCTGCGGCATCAGCTCACAGCCTGATGCTGAAGGCGGTTGGGTGATCTGATACCATCTCTGTATCTATGAAAAAACACACGAGGGTTGGCAGCTGTAGGCATTACCACCCACAAGAGATGACCCAGTTGATTTGCAGCGAAATTGCAAACAGCCTCCGCTCCTACCCCAGCCAGATCCTGGGCCCTGGACCAGAGCCCACGGAGGCTTGTTTCTACCCCCAGACGGGCTCCTGTTCCTCCCGTGACTAATTTGGATCTTCATCTGACAGCTACCCATGACCGCTCTGCCCAGATAGGGCCTCACAGACCTGCCTCTCGGTTTTGCGGTCAAACTGTTTCTTGAAACTTCCCCCGGAGTTCCAGCACGGTTTAGACTCTCTGTGGGGAACTGTAACTGGTGGCGCCTTGGGGCTGAGCTGGCTGGGGATTTGAGAAACCCAGAGAAAGAGAGCAGGAAGGTGTGAATTCGACTTACGGCCTTGGCTGTCTAAATGGGTATGTGCCGTCATGGGGAGCTCCCCACAGTGGATCCCAATGGATGAGTCTTCCCTTATCAGCTGTCCATCGGGCCAGCCGCCACGTCACGTGACCTCTGACCCTCAGTGTGCCTATGAGGAAATGGATGCAAGGCTAAGCAATCAGCCTCCCCAGAGCAGAAGGGAGGAACCCCAGGCCTACCAACAGCTGCCAATGGGCAATTGTTACACCCTCCTACTCCACTGCCTTGGGAAATAGGCAGAGGGATATGTCAGCTCCCGGGGACACCACCCACATGGGTGGTGTTTGCTATGGTGCAGCTGTCCCAGAGGCAGAGGGAAGTGAGAGACCACTGGCCCATGCTTACCCTGACGGCCTTTCTCAGACACAGCCTCCTGGCTTAATTGCTGTGGCCACGGCCCGTGCTCACATGGAGTCCTAGAAGGAGAAAGACATTGGAGCCGGGAAAGGACAACGGAGGTGAGCTTTAATGAGCTCAGCTCTGGGCACTCGGTGCATACGGACCTCAGCACATTTATTTCTTACACGTTATTGATTAGACTCTACGTATGCATTTCTGAGACATAAATGTCCAGGACTGTGAAGTGAACTCCCTCTGGATCCTAGCACTGTTGGGGGTGAACTGCCTACGTGATCTCAGTTTACTCACCTGGGTACATAGAGACGAAAATACATTGATGATTTCATATCCTGGTTACAACGGTTAAATAATTTATGCGAAGTATGTAGAATGATTCCTGACATGGAGTAAAAGAGGACTGTTAACTAACGGTGGTTCTTTTTTTATTTATCACCTTCACGTTGCCATTGAAGGAACTGAGGCTCAGAGAGGGCAGTGACCTGCCCGAGGTCACACAGCTGTAGAATGGTAAGGCTGGGGTTCACTTCCAGGGCCATGTGATGCCCTTACTGCCCGTTCAAGTATTCTCAGTCCACGAGGGTCGAGCTAGAAAGAGAAACTTGGGTACCTTTCAGCCTCAGGGCAATGTCACTGCTGAGGCAGATGCCAGGAGCAGTGGCTGTCTCCAAAGAAGGGAAAGAGTCACCTTCATCAGGTCATGGGGCGAGGAACACAGGGAGGAGCTCATGGCTCCTCAACACCCCCAGGGTCCGGAGGGAACCCAGGAGGGGAAACGGCTCTGAGTGACGGGAGTCGACCGATCCCAGGACACCAGGGAGTGAGTGTAGAGAAAAAAGTCAAAAAGAGACCTCAGTTTCCCTCCCAGAGGGCGAGGCCAGTGGTGGTGAAAGGGCCCCTGACAACAGATAAACAGGAAGATGAGTGCCCGACGCCACTGGCACAGATTCAGAGACAGAGACCAGCACCCACGCCTGAGCGGTGGTGCTGAAGCGTCGTGCGCCAGCCCGACATCAAAGCCCCAGAAGCCCCTTCCCGTGCAGCACCCTCCTTAGCAAGCCAGTGCCCGGGCACAGATGGGGCCGGACCCCTGGTGCCTGAGGGGAGGTACCCAGCCTCCAATTTTTCCAGCTGGCAGAGGTGAGTGACCAGATCCAACCCCCCAGGGCGGTTCTAAGGACTGAGGTTAGATCCCAGGGTGGGATACAGAGCCAGTGCCCCTCGGAGAAGAGGTTGCCAAGCGGATTCAGTCATGGAACGGGAGCCGGCCAGAATCGATAGCCTTTGAAACGCTCATGGGCGGGCTGGAGACTCTGATTCTGCAGGTGAAGACCAAAGCCTTCTTGATAAACAGTGCTGTCTGCTTAATGAATGCATTTCTAGGGCATTCAAGTTCAAAGCCAGTACAATACTGGCAGGCAAGAAGGAGAGGAGAATGGGGAGATGGGGGGGCTGCCTAAAGAGCCTCCTTACTTGCCGGGGTCCCCAAGACCCAGCCTGAGAGCCTGAGAAGGCTGGGCTGTGGCAAATCCAGCCCCCTCCCATGGCCCGGGGTGCACTGGTGTGCAAGGAGAGCTAGACTCGTGCTCACTCCCAGAAGCTTCTTTGGGTTTCATAATTGTTGCTCTGAAAATCTGTCAATGGGTCCAAGGGGCACCGAGGCAGCTCTTTGGAAAACAAGCAGATGGCAGTGGAGGAAAGGAAAGCCTCACGCGTGCAGGGGACCGGAGCCTTTGAAAGGAGATGGGTTAAAGGGGAGGGCATCAGAAGCCCCTGCCCAGCCTTCAGCCCCAGGGCCACAGTACCTGAGGACTCACCTCTGCAGGGGGTGGGAAGGAAGGACTATACAGCACCCAGCTCCACAGGCCAGCTTCCCGAGGGCCCAGGCTTGTTGCCTGGAGGCTGTGACCCTGGATTCTGGGCACTGTCTCCCACCCCCAAACTAGATGGTGAAGACATTGCAGCCGTAGTATTTCTCTACGGTACAATTCACTGTTTGATCCAGGGGAACGTTCAGCACAGACGTAATCTCTAAGGAGAACTTACCAGTAACTTCTAATTTAATCTGGAAGCGATCTTGTGATACTACTACGATTCCCATTTTACAGATGGAACATTCGAGGCACAGGGAGGAAAAGTAATTTGGGCACAGTCACACAGCTAGTAAATAAATGACAGAGCAAGGATTCGAGCCAGGGAGACTGGCCCTAGGGCCAACTCTCACACTGTCAGTATGTAGCTCCTATGCTGGCGCCTGATTCCTGATCCCTGGTCCACCTTTAACCCCCAGGTGTTTCTGAGTCAGGCCAGCTCCTGGCTCAGCCTCCCTGTCTTCAGCCTCCTCTCCAGCTCAGCTCTCCCTCTGGGTTCGGGGACTACTGCCGCCTACAGGTCTCATGTGCAAAGACACAACTCTAACAGGATCACGGGGAAGAAGGTGGCATGGGGACCTAGGCCTCTCCCATGGCGGCTAAGGGAAGGCAGAGGGCTGCCAAGTGTCAGAATTGGAAAGTTCCACATCTGGGCTATTCTTCGATGATCATCCAGGCCCCACGAGAAGGAAAAAAAAAAAAAAAAAAAAAGGAACAGGGGCTGTAAAGAAAAGGGAGCACCGTGGCTGAAGGTGATGAGATGAGCCCTAACAGAGACCTAATCATCTGGGCTGAGTCAGTCCCCTGGTTCGGTCCTGCCTGAAGACAGGAATTAATTGAGCTCAGAAAGAATATTTCCTGCTTCCATCCTCCCTTGCATTTCCAGCTCACTGAAGTCTTCCGTGACCGCTCCCTAATCTAGCTGGAAGAAGTCTGCAAAGCCACAAGTGTCCCGTGCTTTAGAACTAAGATGAAGTGAGGGGCGCCTGGGTGGCTTAGTCAGCTAAGCGTCCGACTTTCGCTTAGGTCATGATGTCGCGGTTCGTGGGTTCGAGCCCCGCGTCGGGCTCTGTGCTGACTACCAGCTCAGAGCCTGGGGCCTGTTTCAGAGTCTGTGTCTCCCTCTCTCTCTGACCCTCCCCTGCTCACGCTGTCTCTCTCTCTCTCTCCTAGAAATAAATAAAACATTAAAAAAAAAAAAGAAAGAAAGAACTAGGATGAAGTGTTCTCCAAGTAATAGGGACAATCTGCACAGATGGGCAAGAGAGCAAGAGAGCCCAGCCTCCGGGGACAAACAGGTTTAGAACCTGGAGCCGAAATGCAGACGGAGCTGCAAAGCCGGGCACTGTCTGCCAAGGGACCAAGAGAAAAGACAAGTCCCGGCCTCTGGGTTTTATTTCTAGGCTTGCCCTTGTGCCAGGCTCCGTAGCCACCTCCCCGGGGCCTCCGTTTTATGTGGAAGGAGGAAGAAGGAAGAGGAGGGAAAAGAGAAGGGTGGTTAACTTTGCACCGACGGAGAGCTGGGCACCGTGCGAGGCGCTTCACACAAAATATCTCCCAAGGCCCTGGGGTTGGCGAGTAGTACAGCCCTGTCTTACAGAGGAGGAAACGGGCTCAGAAAGATGAACTGACATCCCCCAGCTGGGATGCAAAACAATGACAACAAAGAAAACAATAATACCAATATACTAATACTTAACATTTATGAAATGCGTGCTGTCCTCTGGACAATATACTGACTTGTTTAAACCTCACCAAAACACCATTAGTTGGATATTATTATGCCCATCTTACAGATGAGGGAACTGAGCCCTTAGATGTCTTGCCCCCTTCCCCCCACTCCCAGGACCCGCGGGCACCACTGTCTTTCTTCCCCACGTCACAGAGCTGTCACGAGGGCCGTGGTATTGAGGAACCAAAAGCACTGCGTGTTTTTCCAGAAGAAAAGCAGCCACCGGGCCTGCCTTTGCTGACTTCCTGAAGTGGGTCCCTCTCTGGCAGCAACAGGCCCTTAACCACTGTTGATGGGTTGAAAGCCCAGGGGCTCCTTCGGTTGACTGTTATTTTTTCCTGCGTCCCCAGGCGGGAGCTGAAAGGTTGAGAATGAGAAGGGTAGGAGGGGGAGGGGAGACCGCACCGCCGCTGCTGGGGCTGGAGTTCTGGAGTGGGCGCACACAGGCCGCCCGGGCCGGGGACTGCCCCCCGCCACCCCGCACACCCACCCGTGCACAAGCTGCTTGCCGTCTCTCCTCAAGTCCTACCTGCATCACAGAGGGGTAGGGGCTTCGCTTCCACAGACTCTGCCCTGCTTCTCGGCACAGCAGCCCCAAGCAAGCATCACTCAGGAACCTTTGGTTCAGGGTCACCGGCCAGTTGGTGCCTCGTGAAGATGATGGGTGCTGGCTCTTGGAAGTGAGTCAAGGCAGGGGAGGGAGATGGGCACAGGAACCTTCTCCACCCGCCTTCCCCACCCCCCATGGGGAATTCCAACCCAGTAAGACATGGGAGCCAAGGCATCTGCATCTCGCCATCTCTGGGCAGTCACCCCCCATGCGCACCTCTTCCCCGAAGCCCGTTTGGTTCTAGAACGCCCCAGCTCTCCGAGGTCTCCTGCTCAGCGGCCCCAACCAGCCCCTACCCCCCAAACCCACTCACTCTGCAGGTCCCGTCTGCTCTGGGAGCAGAGCTGGGGGATTGGGTGGGCAGGGGGAGATCAGGCGCTTCTCTGCACCTGATTTGGTCCCGCGTGGTCCCTGTCTGACCTCGGCACAAATGACTCAGTGATGGTCCTGCCATCACAGCAGGGGCATGAACACATGTAGAGGAACTCACCGGACACACGTGAACGCCGACACAGAGGCGTGTGGACAGTGCCAGGGAGGACGGGCGAGGCGCCTACTCACTAGGCCGTGCAAGAGTGCCTGTCCTGGAGGACAGACAGACAGAGGAAGAGCATGCCCCGGATGGGGTCAAGGCACAAGGGGAGGGGATGCGGCTGGTGGGGTGCATACGGGGCTGGGGCTCTCCCAGGCCCAGTCTTACCGACAAGACCAGTCTCCGGCCCCATCCACACCCCCTCCTGGAGTCTGGGCTCAACCCCAGGCAGATCCCAGAGGGTTCTCAAGGGCAGAGCCGGGCAACACCTTCTGTAGCACAATCTCAGGGGTGCATCCAAGGACAGGTGCTCGGCCAGCACCCGCTGAGCTGAAGGCTCCTACCTGGCCAGTCTCCCCCAGCTCCCCCGTCCTCATCTCCTCCTGAGGTTTACTGAACAAGGGAGGACCCAGTCCCCACTCCCTTGGATACCGTCCCACCCTTCCTGCCATGCTTCCTGCTTTAACGGAGCCAGGAAGTCACATTGCAAGGAGAGACGTCTAGGGAAGTCTCCCCATGGAATCAAACGTTCCGTGGCTGCAGGAACACCAGTGGCATCCCTATCCCCTAGGTCACCAGCTGGGTCCGCCGGCTGATTCCCCGACAGTGCTGGCCCCGTGGGTTTTCCCCGTATTCGCACAGCTCACCCCAGGATTTCTGGTGTGTGTCTCTGTGCGTGTCTCCTAGAGGGATGACATAAGCACCAGCCGTGAAAGCGGTGGGGGTAAAGGGGTTTGGCTGGGGAATCTTGATGCCAGCGCTGGACCCAGTTGGAAGGTCCAGACCCGCCCGAGCCAAGCTTAGGGAGACGACTGTGCACCATGGCAGCTGCATTAGGGGCTATGGCACTGGCGTCAGGGCTGTGGACTCACGTCAGGCCGTACGCTCTAGCTCGTGCAGGATTTCCCAGGAGCCTGCAGTGAGAAATCTTGTCCCTCCGATGCTTCAACCCTTCCGCCTGGCCTGGGACACAGACACAGGGCATGTCAGGCTGCAGACATTGGCTCCGCTCCTCACCCAGGACCCCGGAGCTGGTCAGAGAAGCCTCCACTGCCTGAGCACCTGTGCCTATCACCCCAGGCCCCGACCCTGCTCTCTGATCCCCTGGGACCTGAGGTTTACAGGCCTGAGAGTCAGGCCGGGCTTCAGAGAAACCAGTCGTGGGAGCCAGACACAGAATTTCAAGACTTGCCTCTTCCACTTCCTCAGTGTGTGGGCCTGGGTGGGTTACTTAACTCTCTGAGCCTTAACCTCTTCCCTCACCTGTAAAAGGGAGATGATAGCCTTCCCTCATGGGCACGATATGTGGATTAAACAAGGTAATGCCCCGACAGCCCCAAGCTCAGCAACAATGGGCCCCCAGCAGAGCTAAGTAAACCGTGGCTACAATTATAAGCTGTTATAAAGCACTTGGCATGGAATAAATACTCTACAAATAAGCACCATGCAAGTCTAAATAGTTATTAATTATTATGATGACTAATCATCATTATTGTTGATGATAAACGTGAGAACTGCGACCCAAACACCAGCTCCCCCACTCAATCTGTCTGCAGATAGTTATCCCTCCTCAGGCACGAAGAGCATTCTGGGACGCAGAAAGATTGCTGGTCCTAAGCTTGCAGGCAGGGAGCACCGGTCTTCCCCACAGCCCTCCAGGCAGCACTGCATGGGCTGGTCTCACCCGGGCGGGTGACATTCACCCAAACACATCCCGTGTGGCCAGTCAGGCTGCTCAGTCTGCCTCTGCTTGGCTCCTCTGCCCCTGGGTTGTTACATATTTTAGATATCACCTAAGCGAGAACACTCCTTGGCAATGCCTTGAGTGCTGCCTTCTAGGCAACAGGAAGACATGAATGTAAAGTGTGACCTGCAGAAATCCTGGTCCAGCCCCCAAAACTCTGTCTCTGGGATGAGAGCAGATAGGTAAGGAGCAGGCCCTGGTGAGCATGTGACTTTCACCACCATCCTGAAATGAATCAGAGCAAGGCTTCCGGAGGTACCGAGCCTAGCTCAGTTCCAGCATAGGAGGGGCCCAATAAATACATGACGGATAGTTGCATGGATGGGTGGATGGATGGGTGGATGAATGGATGGGCAGATGGATGGGCGGATAGATGGAAGTATGTATGAATAGATGGATGGGTGGATGGATGGAAGTATGGATGGGTGGATGGATGGGTGGATGGATGGGTGGATGCATGCATACATGTATGCATCGATGGATGGAAGGGAGTATATTAATCATACGTTTTTATTTTTGCTATTTCTGATGCTTTGGTATCTGGGGCTTTGCTGGCCAAGAAGAGACTGCCCCTCCCAAGGGTAGTCAGTTCCTAGAGATAGTAAACAACTTGCCTGTGAGTATACCTTTCATATGCAAACCAACCAATCCGAAGCCCAGGCCTCTCCCAGCTACCTCCTTTATCAGACTCAGACTCCAGGCCACTCTCCACCTTACCTAATCATCCCCGGGACAGGCACCAGACAACCAGGGACAGTGCCTACTGTGGTTATTTAGACTAGCTAATCCTGAACCTGCTCACCCTGCCCCCCCCTTGTCTCCTCCCACGGAAACCACTATAAAGACTCTTGCCCTGCTTTCTTCTCACTCCCTCTGCCTCCAGACTTATCCCACTACTTCCACAGGTGGCCCGGCACGATGTGCAGCAGTCTTGGGAACTGTAGGTAACAGACTCTGTCTTCACTGGCAAATCTCCTGATCTGATGGCCTTGCCGTACCTGAATAATAATAAAACCCGCATTTTAAAACAAGGAGGGGTGGAAGGAGGGGGGTGAGTAGGAAGGGAATATGGAAACCAGGAAGGAGGGAGGGAGGCAAGGAGGCAAGGGAACAAGGAAAAAATGAAACGAAACTGGGTCTCAAGTTTCTGGAGGGATGATCTGAGCCACAACTTCGCTCTGTGCCTGGAAGAACCAGCTTCCTCCTAGAAGGTCCTGGATGTGTTGGAGAGAATGTCTCTTCAAAGTGCCGTAGGTCAGCGATGAACACCACGTGTTCTCAGGACCTTTGGGGACAGACCTGGGTCTGAATCATGGCCCTGCTCTTTGCTGGCTGTGAGAACTTAGACCACTGACTTAAACGCCCTGACCTCATTTCCTCAACTATTAAATATATGTACATATACGTACCTTCCACTGTCTTTGAAGCTGGAATAAGAAGATGCGTGCATAACGCAGTGCCCAGCTCAGCGCATGCACTCCATAAACAATGAATGTTATTACTTGGCTTTTATCCAGTCCTGCACCCCTAGTACCATCTGCTAGAAAGACTGTGCTATGAGGTCTAAACATCGTCCTTGCTCAGAAGCCCCCATTTGGGGTCTCTTGGTCTCGGCCTCCCAGAAAGTTGTCTCAACCTCCCAGAGTTTGGGGCTTGGCAGGCAGGGCACCTGCTGCCCCCATGGGAAGGAACCTTCTAGAAGGGCCCCCTGCGCGATCGTCTCTCTGACCCCTTCCTGAGAAGATTCTGTTTGGCTTCCTGCTGATTTTGAAGTGAGGAGGGACGGACCTTTCCACCGGAACAGCGCTTCAATTTCCCCGTCTCCCCTGTACACCATCACTCAGTAAAAATAGCTAATTTTAAAATGGCTGCTCATATGATGGACGAGATTAATGGATCTTGAAGAGCAGCCAGTATCCAACCGCTCCTGCAGCCATGATGAAAGCTAATAATGTAGAAAATTCTGCCAATTCCTTTAATTCATGAATATTTAAGCCTGTGAAAAATCTGTCAGATTATATCATTTTTTTCTGGTGATTTTCCGCCTAAGTACGTCGGTGGCGGCCTGCCAGTTGCTCAAGAAACTTCAGCGGGAGCAAAATCGGTTTTGTTGTTGTTCTTGTTGTTACCATGCGCTGTCGCGTTCTTGCTGAATCCATCCCTCACCCCAGGACTGAGTCAGGTTCGCCTGAGACGGCCAACGGCAACCCTTGGGACTTTTCCCTCAGCAGATCGGTTCTCCTCCCAACCCAAGAGCTGGAAGAAGCCTGTGAGAGCAAAGCCCGTGGTTTTCAAAGTGTGTTCCACGGTACCCCGGGGTTCCCCCGGTGATGGATCTCTGGGAGGCGTTTGGGGTTGGCAATGTCGAGTGGTTGGGGCTGTGGAACGTGACCCGTCCCCCCCCCCCCCCGCTTCCCCAAGCCTTCCTGCCTTCCGTATTGACGTCCCATGGAAAATTTCCTTGGAAAGAAGTGCCGCCCCACATTTCAAAAATTAAAAAGGGGTGAGCATGGCAATGACGGCGTAGCCCACCCTCTCCAACAACAGGTGAAGAAACTGAAGCCCCCCCCCCATTCTCGCCCCCCGAGGGTAAGGAGTTTGTCTGCGTCCTAGGAAACATCAGCGGCAGCACGTGGACCGCCGCCAGGGACCCCTTTCCAGCACATTCTGGCCGCCCTCCTGACGGCCCTGCCCCCCTGTCTGGGGGAAGCAGGAAGCAGGGCCCTGATGACAGCAGCTCCCTGGCCCCCGCGGAGGGGCCCCGTCCAGAGCCTCGAGATGCTTCCCTGCAGAGACACGAGGAAGACAATGAGCACGCTCGGCGACTTGGGAGGGAGGGGCGGCCAGCTTCAGAGATGATTATCGTTCGGGGACTTGGCTGGAGGAAGGAGTGAGCTGCTTTTTATAGGAACTTGCAGTTCCTCGTTTTGTTCTCCCCGGGTTGTTCTCCAAAGAAAGCGGCTCGCGTCAGCTGGCAGGAGCGCCGGGCAGAGGCGGCGGCTCTGGCCGCGATGGCCCGGGTTCAAGGCTTGCTCCAGCCGGTCACGTCCTCACCGGGGCGACCCACACTCGGCCAGCAGCCTAGGTCAGCCTCCGCCTCGCGGGCCGGCCCCCGGCCAAAATCAACAAGTCTTTTGTGCTTCTCCTTTAGACACTGTATAATTACAGCAAACAGGGACTGGCGGAGCCCAGCGACCGTGAGGCCGGGGTGCCGGCTCTCAGCTGCTCTTGGCACTGGGTCCTGGAGCGCAGCACGAGGGGCCGCGGCTCCAGTTGGCTCGTGCTGGCCGGGAAAACAAGAGAATTTCAGGAGTCGTGAGTGGTGTGCTGGCACCGCATCCACGGCGTGTCGTTCATCAGCCATTTCCCTGACACCGGGTTGCGTTTTACCACCGCGCCAACCGGCGGGCTCATGAGTCAGTTACTCAAAAAATAAACAAAGAGTTGAGGCCGACTGTGCCCGGCCAGCGAAACACGTCAGGCTGCTGACAAAAATGGGCCCTTGCCGCGTTCTGGGTGGTTTCGTTTTTGCTCTTTTTGTCTTCTCCGTTGAAACCCTGGAAGCGACACCGCACACGTCCCTCCTCCCCCTCCCCCCCTCAGTTGCTCTGTTCCCTGG